TGCGCAATGCGCTCTTGACAGACTAGCGAGTTCTGTATCTCCTTTCGGCATGCGCTTTGCCCCTTCAAAGTACAAAGTGATGCCGCAAGACTGGGTGTCGTCTACCCCAGCGCTGATGCTTGATGGTCAAGAATTAGCTGTAGTGGAATGTTTTACCTACTTAGGTAGCTGCGTTTCAAATGATGGTAGCATAGTCAATGAAGTAACCGCCCGCATTTCCATGGCTAAAGCAGCTTACGCAGGATTGAAACGCCTTTGGTGCAGACGATGTTTCGTTTAAACTGAAGGTCGCGTATACTGCGTCAGTGTGCGATCAGTTCTGCTCTATGGTTGCTTGACCCTAATTTGCACGTGGTGGATATTCGTCGTCTTGAAGTATTCAACTGCCGATGTTTACGTAGTTTGGTGCGGGTTGGATGGAGCGAGCAACTCTGGTAATGATTCGTTAGAGAATTCGCTGTCCCATCGAATAAAGATTAGTCGGCTTCGCTGCGCATGTCCAGCCATCGTCTGCCGCACCGCGCCTTATTCACAGTTGCGGCTCCAGGTTGGAAGAAACCGCGTGGAGGTCAACAGATGATGTAGAAGCGAGGCATGAAGAAATATACAGAGCGATTAGGTAGAATCAGTGTCTCCCGTCGTCCAGGTTGGGGTCCGAAAAACTCTGCAACTGGCTGGCTGGAGACATTAAAGAATATGGCAACTAACCGACAGCAGTGGTGTTCTTGTTGTCATTTCTTATCAGATCAGAATGCTTGAAAAGGTATGCATGAACACTTAGATTGTGTGCTCAGTGTTTTGAACATAGAGGTTCGTTGTCTTTTTCGCCCTCCGATGAGATTCAATCCGTCTCCATTTTATACTTTATGACTTAATTTGTGTACATTGTGATCTTGGCAGCGATCAGTGAGGCTCGCTTCATTTTATCTCGCTGTAGGATGATGATGGTTATTAATTTTATCGTGCATCGTTGATAAAACCAACCAAAGAGACATGTGTCTTACTCAGTGAGCACTGTTTAACTAAATGCCTGCGATTACGAATGGCAAAAGCGCTGGATTCCAATAGGGTGGACTTGAATATTGGCGTGATTGTATGCGCTTCAGTTTACGGAATGATTTGATGAACATTGGTTTCAGTCAAAAATATTCGTGTAGAAGCCCATTACTGTTGTTGCGAATGCGAGTTTTCCGGAGCCTTTAGTGTTTTTATAGTCTGATATTTTTTCATCCTATCAGGTTGTTCTGATGTCTGCAACTTTGGATGATACCACAAAAGTTTTACGTCGTTGTCTAGTAAAATCGGGCAATTGGGTTCGAGTTGAACTACCCGAAGAAGCTTTTCTGCCATCTGACACTCAGCTGACACAATATGTTATCAGGTAAACCAAATGTTTCTCTGAATTACAATGCTAGTTTCACCCTCAATAAATAAAACCAGTGTTTGATTTCACAGAGTAGTAAATATATCGTATTCACTACCTCGGCCCTCCAATCACTGTTAATGAAGCACGGTTTGTGCCTCTATCTTGCAAGCATGTAGGCCAGTTTATATTAAATTATTATGGGGGAAAATGGTGTGCTTTTTTGTTTTATTATCACTGATTACATAACTTCTGCATGAAAAATGTTCTGAGAAAAGTGACTTCGACCTAGACGTTTTGCTACTAACTTGGTGGACCACTGGCAGTTCACCTAGGGGAGTTGGCCAAAAACCCTGATTCCAAACCAACCATGAGGAGACGTACGAACCATACCCACACCTGTCGGTTGTGGCAGTGGTCACCGGCTCGATTGGGCATTGAGGTGTATTAGGCACCTTNCCCCGTCCGAAGGGCGTATGATCCGATGAACTGGACACCGGCTCCCAATGGACGGCGGTTTTCGCACACCGCCCCGCTGCCTTGCGGGTCAGGCTTTGGCTAACCGAAGGCTCCGGTTGTGGATTCCTCAGAAAAATTCACCTGCCTTGGCCTGGGCAACCTGGCAGTACTCAGCCCACAAGCCAATCATGGAACATTTTTTTTCTTAAAGATTATTGTACCATGATTTGTTTGGCACACAGTCTGTCCTTAGACAAGTATGAAATATATGAGTAACTCATTAATTAGAATAACTCCGTTTGGAATAACAATATTTATCTTTCAAAAAAGTACTGTGTGAACTCGAACACAGAGCACTCACTGCACAATCGTTTTATCCCTGTCGGGTCTCATAAGCAGTAGGTACTGTCTTTGTATCCCTTTTGAGACCCGAAAAAGAGTACAATAAAAGCTATGAACCCTTAGGTTGGAAGACGAGACCCTTACCTCCAAACAGTACAGTACACTTGTGCGCACGGTGCAACGGATTGAAGATATTTTTATTCCATTGCATTCCCAGAAACCGGGTCTATGTATTCGAGGCTCACTTTTTTTCACTAGCTGCGTACAAGTTGTGGTCAGTAGCTTGCAATATACTTCGTGGATGAAACATTTTTGCTTTATACCAATCGCTTTTTACGAGGGCTGAGCAAGAAGTTTCCGGATGCACAAAATTTTTATTTGTTACACAAAAATAAGCACTACATTTTTTCCGAAGTATTCCTCACTAGCGTTCATGCACAGTTCTATGCACTCAAAGCATTTGGTGAAAAAGCTCGACCATACCGAAGCGTGTAGCCCTTCAGCCAGTTCAGTCAAGTCCTCTACTGCAGCTGTTGGTGACTCGTATCGGATTCAACGCATCATGCGCTTGACCGTTGGGAATATAGCACTTATTGAAGGCGCGTCGTCACCAAGTGCTGCTCTCAAACGATCAGCTCTCTGCTGCTGTCTTACACCACATTTGTAATCGTAGAAAATCGCCATACAGTGACGTCGACTGAGTTCCATCCTTACAGTCCGTGTATAGTGCCCCTTATGATTTGTAAGCTGTGCTCGGCTGTTGATATTTGACTCTGTGAGTTGCAGTTAATGAACAATTTTCACAATAAAGAACAGTTCACGTTTTCCTTGCCCGTTCACCTGCACCTCATACGTGTACTGCGTATCCGGAAAGATTTTGCTCAGCTCTCGTACTTGAAATTAAAATGTTGGGTATGTTAACGGAAGTAAAGTGTCCTTATCTGCAATCCACTTTCTCTGAAGCCTGATGTGTTACGGTCGGTTACTAATACTCATGTCCATCAGGATCCTTTGTCACTTAATGTCGCAAACCAGTTAAGTTATTTATCTACCTTGGCCTCGGGAACCTGGCAGTATTCCGCCCACCTGCAAATCATGGAACGTCTTTCCTTTTCATGAAGATTATTGTACCATGATTTGTTTGACACAGTCTGGATTCAGATGTGTGTGAAAATATAAGTTAATAAGCCAACAGAACTGTTAGTACAATCAATAGCCTTGCATGTTCGTACACCGTTGATGGCATTCTGCTACTCATTTGGTACATGAAGAAAGAAGGAAGGAGAAAATGGAAGATTTATGTAGCTGAGTGCAATATTTGGGGTAAATATATAAGTCAAGTCAACTTTGGTGGTAGGCTGCTTTGCTGTCGTCCGGTTCTCTACCACGCCTAACCTATTGGTTGCTCATGTGGTCCCGGGGATCAGGTTGCGGATTACCATTACTGAACAGCAAATCTTCTTGACCATGGGGCCCGCCCCCTCTGCTGTTTATCGCACACTGGTGTGTAATAAAAAGATTAGAGTTGTCTACAAAATTAGTAGATTCACAAGCGCGTGTTTACGATACCGGCATATCATACAGTATTTTTCTGTCCATTGTTCACGAGATCCCCACCAGATAGCATATTGCGATCTATGTGACGGAGTATCGTGGTTTTAATTTTCTTACTTTCACGGTACGATCACTGTTGACCTTAAAGTTGCCCCCTACTCCGGCAAGCATCACAATCGGTGACAGCCTATCCAGTGATATACCTCACTCATCGTAACTTGTGGAGGTCAAGCACTCGTGTCAATGACCGTGCCCATAACCGCGTAGTGCTCTTCTCCTATCCTTCACCATTGCATTTCACTCTACAGTACTCTCTCTCTCATCCATTGTGCGCGAAAAACAAACTTGTGGGTCAACCTGCATAAGTCCCCATGTTGAAAATTTCTAGGTTCCAATGATTAAGAAGCATCCATTTTGCAGGACAGATCTGGAAAATGGAGTTCGAAGTGGCACCACCTAAGAATGCTGAAGGAAGCAGTGTGTGACCTGAAAGGAAACAACTCGGAAGGAGCATCAAACAACACCACCTTGCGGTCTGATATCAGCGTTCCCAAGACCCCCTACAGCCTGCGTATAAGCCAGATTAGTAGATGTAATATGCATGCTTTCCCTTAACTGGTGCACACTTTATCTGCAAATCTTCAGATAATTCTCCAGAATTCGTTCTTTGTGTTTTCCTTGATTAGTCTTCCGCTTTTGATTATGTTCTACGGATACTTTTTCCTTGAAAGCTACAGTCATTCGATCGCTCCGCCACTTCGTTATCGTGGTTGTACGACTTTCACAGAAAGAATTCGAAGGGCGAAAGCGAACGACTCTGTTTCAAGACCGTTAGTGAATAATTCTGGGTGTTGTGCTTTCTCTTGTTTTCAACATTCATCAGTGACTTACCCTCAATCCCACCAGCCAAGACCCTTAAATATGCTGATAATGATGTCTTATGTCAAACCAATCTGACTTGGAATTCTTTTCTGACAATACAAGTGAAATTATTCTCGAACCGATCCGGTCTGCAGTTGAATACTTCTAAATACTTCCAATGTGTTTTTAGTCTTTCCCGGTCTGAATATCCTTTGGAAGCCTCATTGACCAACTCCGTACCCATTACCAGAACATACCACGAAATACCCATGGGCCACTGTAGAGTGTAATCTACGGTAGTCCTCTCTGGTGGTAGTCTGTGTTGGTAGGCTGCGTTACTTAGCCTCCCAAATACGCCATCTATGACATTTTATATTGGAGCATGCAACTATGTTCTTTTGTTTATCAATTCACGTTCCCTGAACTACTGAAAAAGGATTTCATTACTCTTTGTCGCAATTCGGTAATTACTAGCCGTGTTTCGGCTGCCCCCTTAAACACTAATCACAAAATTGTGTGATATTCCTACTACTTTATGTGGGAATTTCACCCATAAGATACCTAACGACTCCAGTCTCCCGCTCTTTCCCGATCTATCTGCTTGCTGTTCCCCTGCTACCACCCGATCCTATTTTCGCTTCTTATTCTCTCGCGTAAACAGTTATCTTGTCTTAACTGATAAGCTCCGAAATGAACTCGTTTTAAGTCGACAAAGGTGATCTTTTGTTTAATTTTTATCATTTTAGTGTATGACTTTTTCAATTTTTATCCCATTGTAACGGTGAACAGATTTGTTACTGAAATTTAGGTACATTTTCCTGTACAAGTCATTACAATACAGTACAAATGGGCAGTTGTAGAAAAGTTCAAATGCATGACGACGCGCCGAGTGCACCTGTTGCCTTATGCGGCATGCGTTTTGCCTCTTCAAAGTGCAGTGATGCTTCAAGACTGGTTATCAGCTACCTTTGTTTTGAAGTTTAGTGGTTAAGAATTGAATGAGGTAAACCGTTTTACTTTCGAATGTGCTTCATTGGGAAAATCACTATCATCCCAAGTTCAAATCAGTGAACTTCGCTCCTCAGGACATATTGTACAGATCCAGCAGTCCTCTACTTCACGATCATTGCTTGCAGTTTACGCTCCAGGTTGGAGAAGATCACGCGGAGGTCGACAGATGACGTGAGTACGAGGCATGAAGAAACGCACGGAGAAGAGGTGTCTCCTGTCTTCCATGTTGAGGTCCAAAACTCTGCAACTTGTTGGTTAGAAACACCGAAAGACACGACAGCGAACTGACAGAAGCATCCCTGTTCTTGTTCCTTCCCGGTCCGAAATTCTTGAATAGACATACCTACGGAGTTGGGTTACCGAGTCTGTGTCAAACACAGTGGTTTACTGCCTCTTCTCCACACGGTCCCGCTTCTTATCCAACTTACACATTAATATTCAGTTTGTACACATTAGAAGCATGACCGCAATGATCAAAGTTCGCTCCACTTTATTTTGCTGTCTGTTGATAATGGGAACATAATCTCTTTGTCCTTATTTTCATGTGGCTAGCTCTCTCCTGTGAGTGAACCGATCTCGTAGGCATCAAATTTCAAGTATTTTGTGCTTGTTTATAAGCTCATTGAATCGCATTTAATCGCCTCTGTTGTTGTAGTGCCGAGGAGGAGGATAAATACACCATTTTGATTGCGTTGCTCAAACTGAAATTGGTTCGGGGCAAGACTTTGATCTTCACTAATTCCGTGGATCGTTGTTTCAAGTGAGTTGCAATCTACCGAGCGTAATAGTAAACCTCGCACCCACCGTGATTTGATGCATGCATACATGTTTATCTCTGATGTTGAATGCTAATTGCTGAAACGCATCTGAAGTTTACTCGTTTTCATTCAATCGACCAGCTTTTGAATTCTGGGCCGCATACTAAACTCAGCTCTTGGGATTACCCAAACGGAATGACAAATGTCACGCTTGTGTCATTCGCCTTCGCTGAAGTACTCATACAAATTTTTAATTTTTAGCTATCACTTGATTAATCACATGAGAGGAATGAATATTTCAAAGGCGAATTCGTCGTGTATATAGCAAATGAAGCGTAAACTAAAAAGCTAGGAAGCACTGGACAGCTGTTTCGACCTGGTTCGGTCCTATCAGCAGTGCGAATCCATCGACCCAACTGGGGAATGAATATATAAAGAAGGAAGGCACGAATAATGAATACAGTACAAATTAAATCATTTGTGTTCGTTATGTATAAGCATTTATTTGTCTTCACTGATTCCTGCTTTGGACTTAGTAACCTGTTTGTGTCCTGCCCCCAAGCAAATCATAAAAAATTTTATTTTTATGAAAATTACATTTATATATTCACTGATAGCCTCTTATTCACATATCCGAAGTTTTCTACTCCTTAGACACCAACTGGGCTCTTTATAATCACTGACTACCTGTCTATTTACTACTTGCAGACTCCGTCTGTTCCTGGAGGAGTTTGGCATCAAGACAGCTTTGCTCAATTCGGAGTTGCCTGTTCTTTCTCGTTGTCATGCGATAGATCAATTCAATCGCGGTGTATTTGATTATTTGCTTGCCACAGACGAACGCCCCACGGACGGGACAACAAAAGACGATTCCAGTGGTAAAAAGTACGTTTTCTTCGATTTCAGCTCCTCCATTTCCAGACAGACTTATTCCACCAATTAGTGGTACTTCTGCATTGGTCTCTGTTTGGTGTTCCCATCGTGAATTCTCATTTGATTGAAGTTCATCTAATTTGTTATAGCTCTTAATTTATATTTTATCGGTGTTTGTTTAACTATAGGGGCAAACGGAGAGATGCAGAATATGGTGTTGCTCGGGGCATCGACTTTCAATTGGTGAGCAACGTGATCAACTTTGACTTCCCTCTGACTCCGTCTCTGTATGTGCACCGAGTCGGGCGTACAGCACGCGCGGGCCAAATGGGCACGGCTTTGTCATTTGTCAGTCAGACTGAGGAGAAATTGTTACGTTCGGTTGAATCGTTACTAAATCCGGCTGGGGAGGCTGCTGCACTCAGTTCCACGGATGCCCCAGCCACAAAAGGTGACTATAGCATACATCGTTTTAATTCTCTAATATCTTTCACATAGACATAAAGGTTAATCGATTATTGTGCACTATTTTTTCACAGCATTACACGAACCTGATTAACGACCCTAATTGATAACAATGGGATGAAATCTACAAAGCTTGTTGCCTAAGGACGAACTTTGCGTTGGTTACAGCAGATTTTCTCCGTTTCTTCTCTATATCATTTGGTCACTTTCTTATTGCTTACCCTGGTTTGATGAGCAGCAACAGTCGGGGTAAACCCCCCATAATCACTAGTACCTGCTGTTTAGTGGTGGAAACCGGGGACTCATGGACTCGCTGGATGGCTTTCCGGATGACTTTCCGGGAAGGCGCACATTCTGTGTCCGTGTTTCTCAGATATCACGCTGGTAAGGGGCCTCTAGCGGCGTCACACAAGGCTCTTTCTTAAGCCCGTTGCTTTTCCTGGCCTACATAAACGGTTTTCCCACACGGGTGCTTCGATCGCGTTTCGCGTTGGATCCACGCCTCACTGCGTTGTAGGTCCGAACTCTGAGTCGATGGCTTCGGTTAGGGTTCCCAAAGAAAAACCCCTTCGTCAACGTGGGCTACCGTGAGGTATGTATGTCGCGTCCTAAAGTCTCAGACACCCGTTTGGATAAACCACTTTCACATTTGTGTAGTTCCTCCTCTCATTCCCAAGTCCTATGAGATGCCTCCCGTTAACACCACCCGTTGGATATCACTCGGGGTTTTCCGGTAAAATCAATCAACCAAAAGCTACAGCTTTGATAAAACCAAAATCTCCTTCGAAACGGAATCATCCGATCGCCTCACAGGTCAACCAAAAACCGAAGCACTCAGTGAATACTGGACTTCAATCAAGGACGCATACAAAACAACGGCCGATCAAAACGGAAACGGTGGATCTCATCCACCTCGGCTGCCTCGCTGGACAATCGCAGAGCCCTTCCTCCGAATGCCACATATGACACAGTGCGCAAAGCCTAACATACCAGCTCATCGAGAATCTGAGGCATGACCACGAGAAATGGTATGTAGAAAATTTTAGAGAGATAGAAAGAGCCGCGGCAGTTGGTAACATTCGCACTCGTTTTAGTTTATTCAGGAGTACGGGTCCAATGAAAGTGGACTTAAGTGAGGTAGGTTAGGAGTCTGATGGTATACTGATTCACAGTTAGCAGCACCGTCCTAAACAATGGACCGAACATTTTGATGCTCAGTTCAACTGGCAAACATTGAAATTAGGCCTGGCAACCTCTACATTGGTTGGGCAACTAGTGCCAGTTGATATCACTCCTCCATCTGAAATGGAGGTTACCCGCGAAACAAATTATATCAAAAGGTATAAGACTTCTGGCACAATTAGGGTATCCCATTGATTTTTAAGGATGGAGGTCCAGCATTGATTTGGAAGTTAACGAAACTCCTGGGCCCTGTGTGGAATAGGGAAGAGGTTCCAACTGAATGGTGTGAATCGGTCACCTTACCAATTTACAAGAATTGACAGGTCCTTTTGTGAAAACCTCAGAGGAATTAGTATAATCAACATCGTCTCTAAAGTTCTCGCTGGTAACGTTGATTGTCTGCTGCAATTGAACGATACACTCTTGAGAATCAATCTGGTTTTAGACCTAGTCGAGGTTTTAGAGACCACATTTTCACTCTTCGACGGATTGAACAACACAGACTCCTTTCCTAGACCCACCATCTCTGTCTTTCTCGATCTGAAATCGACTTTCGACTCAGTTGATCGCTCTACACTCTGACGCTGCTTCTCTCTGAACGGTGTACCTGAGAAATTTATTTCAATTTTGAGATCTCTTAACACTGAAAACCGACACCGAGTCCGAACCATAAGCACGCCCGGGTCGCCGCAGAAAGTGTTCGCCAGGGTTGCCCTCTCTCTTTTCTTTTCTGTTGAACTTTGTCATAGGTTTAATTTGAAACACTGGGTCCTTTTTATCCACCGTACTAAGATCGAAAGAAGACATATGTCGCGAGATGTTAACATTTCGTTTAATCTTCTCAATCGCTGACGTTAAACAACCGAGCACATTTATAGCGCATCGACTTTGTAAATCCTAGTGAACGGACGTATCCAGTTAGACAGGGGCTATTAGAATTAAAAATATAGGTCAACTCCACGGCAAGTGAACTGATTGGATCAACAGCTTTTGGGCGCACAGAAGTTATTGATCCAATCAGTTCACTGCCGTGGAGTTGACCTATGTTTTTAATTCTAAATAGCCCCCTGTCTAACTGTGCATGTCTGTTCATTAGGAGTTACAAATCCAATGTGCTTGTTTGTTTTACGTCAGCGATTGAGAAGATTAAACGAATTGTTAACATTTCGCGACATATGTCTTCTTTCGGTCTTGATAATAGGTTTAATTCTTGAAACAGCCGTATCCTCGTGCGCGGAGAGCGGCATCCATTCGCCCCCCCCCCCCATGCAGGAGACTGTCTGATCTGGAGTATGCAAACGAGACCGAGCTGCTGATTGAAGATCCAGGTAAGTTGCAGGCTTTTGTGGGTAGTTTGAGTGCGTTTTTCACCTTCAAAGTGTAAAATGCTGCTCCAAGATTGGGTTAGCCCAGGCCCCAACCGCACTATAATTGAGAAAGTAGTAGAGGACGCGTCACAGATGAACCGTCGCAACGGATACAGAAGGCTCGGTTGGCATTTGCCAACTTGAGACATCTATGGTGCCGCCGCGAAATCCGGCTGTCCATGAAGAGTCGAGTATATGCGGAAGCAGTTAGACCTGTCCTGCTCTTCGTGGCAGAAACTTGGCCATTACAGGAACAGGATTGAAAAGATTTTAGGTGGTTGAACATCGTCGTCTACACCGCATTGCTCGAATCTAGTGGGGAAACCAGACAAGCAATGTTGAGGTTTGACGCAGTTTTCGGTAGCTGCGGTTAGCCACTGCAACAAGTGGTCGATCTCCATAGACTGTGGTGTTTGGGAAATGAATTGCTCACGTCATCAAATAGTTTGCCACGGTGCTCGTTGTTTGACGAGGCAGGTAGCGGTTAGAAAAAAGTAAAGAGCGATCAAACGAAGACCTGGCATGAGGGTATGAAAATCCTAACCAGGAGATTCGGTCATACAATCTGCAATAGGGGACTCCGAGGTCACGGTAACCGGAGTTTTGGGACACTGAGTGATATGGCTGTGTCACAAACAGTGGCGCTCGTACATCTACTCATTACCCTTGAAACNNNCCTTGAAACCCTTATCCATGTGAATTCTCTGTCTTATTTTTGACTGGTCACAACATTCCGTTCTTCCGTCGGCTCTTTATCCAAGTGAACAGTCATGAAACAGCAACCAAAACCGGCGCACGAAAGTGCATTATTAATGGTGATGAAGCCTAAAAAAGTAGAAACAATATGGGAACCTGTCCTCTCTGGTTCTTGAAACTGTTTCACGCTTCCACCATCAGTGCCCTGAACAAAATTGTTCTGAGAACCAAGTTCTTTTTGCACGCGCACAGGGGACCGCTGATTACGTCAAGCATGTACAAAGTGAAGTGGTGTTGACTCCAACTGTCGGTCATTGTCGATCGATCAGCAGACGATTAAAGGTATTCTATAAGTATTCATCCCATTTGGCTTTTGGATTTAGTTAGTTAGTTGCTAACTGGTATGATAAATTAAGTTAGGAAGATGACAAAGTCCCCTCTTTTTGTTTAAACCAGGTTGTGTAACAATTTTACCTGATTATCTGATTACAGTCACCGAAATGTAAAATACATTCCAGAAACAATTATTCCACAGATAAAAAGATTTATTATGGGAATAACTTACAAACTCATGCTTTTCTGGTCCCATAGGTTCGTGCGGTGGAGTAAGAAACAGTGATACATACAATTCTTTGTGTAAAATGTCACGTGATACGTGCGTTTTCCACCGCTTCACGCAGCTTCACTTATGTTGGAACGTAAGATGTGATAGTGTTTCATCGAGCCTCAGTTTGAAAGACTCAATGCTTGGAGCACAGACGACGTAGGA